CGAGGTAATGTTACACTCAACGCGAATTATATTCACGTTCATAATTTTCACCAGTTCGTCCGATGCATGCCACTTTGTTCGTAACACGCGAGACGTCGAAAAGCCTAACAATGAACCGATACTGTTCGTTTTGGAAAAATCCACTAGATATTCACACTTGATCTCACTTCTCATGGTGTTTTCGTTCGCCCGAAGAATTAATACAGATTCCTCCCTAGCTTTATTCTTATCGTAATCGTATATTTCATCGATCTCATCGGTCTCCTCGAGTTCGTTGTTGTTGATAGTACTAGGTAGTGTACTGTTAACTATAGCAGCCCTCAGATACTTTTCTATAGCATTAAATTCGTACGATCCCTCGGGAATCGTGATCGTAATGTCGTTGGTGTCGAAGTGGAATTTATTATTCGAGGAGGTGACGTTCGGTATCGTGTTGTACGTTTCGAAATTCGTAAGACCCAATTCGTATTCGCTATCGCTCAAGTCCAAAGCGGGGAAGTAATTCGCCGCGAGGACACTGTTTCTTCCCGTTAGTGTGAGAGTCAACGACATGATCGTAGCACGAAAGTTACCGCTGGACTGTTCGGATCGCTGTACAATATATCACGCGAGGAGCTTCATCCTCTTCCAATCGATCTCCCAAAGAAATCGCAGACACAACTGACTGCAAATGCTTTGATTGTACGACTGATATGATCGTCTGTTGTACGTAATGTTACCTCCGAGATATCGTTCGAGTTCCCTCGGTAGTTTGAGATTACCGAAACTGTCGAAGTAGACAGCCTCGTCTCCCCTCTTCACGTAAGCGACTCAGTGTGTACCGGGGCTGTCGAATCGTCGAGGTTCACGATACCGCACTCGTTACGACGTGATTTCGCGGGTATCGCATCGCGCATGAATACACCTCTGAAGAACGGTAATTTTAAAAGATACGCCGAACGACTCAATTGCTCGTTCGTTGTGGTGCCAGAGATCGGTAATCTAAGAGTTTCTACCGTTTCCTTCCATGTTTTTTTTTTTACCTTCGACCTCTTCCTCACACGACCGCCGCGTTTGTATGGTGCAATGTACAGACCGCGACCCTCCATCGCGCGATTATGACGTTGCAATTCTTCGAGTTGTCGTCGAGCGGCTTTACGATCGCCCACCGCTTTCGCCACGCTAGCTGCTCCTCCGATCAAAGACCCGAGCGCTCCCAACCCTGGTAAAATCGGTAGGAAACCATCGCGTTTCGCTACAGATAAAATCCTCTTCCTCTTCGACTTTTTCCTCTTCTTCACACCCATGCCCAATTTTGTCGATAGATTAAACAGTCAGCTAGGACCGTTAGGACACATATACATTTTTTACATCAATGCTCTTCTGAGTGGTGACAGGAGAAATGAAATCGATCGCGTGTACGGTGTTTATTTCGATGAGAACGGTACAATGTTGGGTGATAAAAAATTCGATGTGGATACAGACGATACCATAATAATCGATGGAAACAGATATAAGGGTACACCAGGTCTGTACGAATTAGTTTTCAAGAGACTTCCCGACGACGACATCTAGAGAACGATAAGCGAACGTACAAGAGTATACTGTTGACAACGAATGCACATAGACGTCGTCATAACGCTGAAATGCCTGTCAAAAATAACAAGGGATACAAATATAAGTATATTATCGGTCCACTCGTATCTGCACACAGAACTATGAGTTTGGGTGCAGGTGTACCGACGACTATGAGGGTTACCGACGACAAAGCGATTACGTTCATTGGGATGATCCGAATAAGTTGGTGGACCGTCTTCAGTTACTCGATGCCTCCCGTAGCGCTGGCAATAACGCTCACGACGACGAAATTCTGTCGATAATCGAGGAACTTCGCGAAACCGGATTTATCATAAATTGATGACGATAAAATCGAAGACTGGAAAGCGCGATAAAAACAAAGAAACGTGATTAACATGGAAAATGCATTAACGTGTCATTTAAAAAGACACGCGTGAAGCTTGCGTAATTTCATAACGATAGGAGATGTGTATCGAGAAACGGAGACTCGTGGAGGAGCTTCACGCACCCGCGCGGAGAAATTTTCCGTGACGGCGAGTTATTGTGCCCGGTCGTGACGATTTATGGCAAGCAGATGTGGTTGAGATGCGTCCTTATGCGCGATCGAATAAAGGTTATAGTTACATTTTGACTGTTATCGATGTTTTGAGTAAGTACACGTGGGCATTACCACTCAAGACCAAGAGCGGAAGCGACGTAACCGCGGCGTTCTCCAAAATATTTCGCGAGGACAAACGATACCCGCGGAATCTACAGACGGATCAAGGAAAGGAATTCTACAATGCCACCGTGCAGAAACTTTTGCAGAAACACAACGTAAATCACTATTCTACGTATTCGGTAATGAAAGCGTCGGTAGTGGAACGATTCAACCGTACTCTCAAAAATAACATGTGGAAAGTATTCACGTTTAACGGCACGTACAAATGGATCGACGAATTGTCGCGTTTACTGTCAGATTATAATCGTCGTAGACATCGAACCATTGGAATGCGTCCGATAGACGTCACACTTCCCGTTGCAAAACGTCTCTTGTCGACGGTGTACAGTCACGTGAAAATTGCTTCCTCGACGAAATTCAAGAAAGGCGATCCAGTACGTGTTAGTAAATTCAAGACGATTTTTGAAATAGGATACACACCAAATTGGTCTACCGAGATCTTCCATATCGCCAAAGTGCAACGTACGAATCCTGCAACGTATCTGCTGAGAGATTATCGAGGAAAGCCGATAGCCGGTGGTTTTTACGAATACGAACTACGAGTGTCCAATTCGGACGTCTATCTTGTGGAAAAAGTATTACGTAAACGAGGCAACGAAGTATACGTTAGGAATGGACAACTCACATAATTCGTGGATAAATAAAACTGATATTGTGTAAAGGGATGTATTTATGCATAATAAAACTATATTAATACACATTACATAAGTAATTAGTAGTATAGATGGGAGGGTTCTAACTCAAGTTTGTTCTTTTTTCCGTAAGTACTTGATTTATGAACCAGGTTTACCAACATAAATTATAATGTGTTTAAGAACGCGAGGGGTATAAATTATAATACGTTTAGGAACTCTGTGGTGATGCCAGGGGATGACGTCACAGGGCGAGGGAATATGACGTCACGGAGGGAAGGGTGAGAGGGGTATGACGTCACGGGAGAGGGAGGGGGACACCGCAGAGGGGGAAGAAAATGACGTCACATGGTGCTAACATCGCGGGAAATTCGCGCGGGAAGAATTGCGGTGGTCGCTGCGGGGTCAATGGCCGCCAGGGTCCTCCGAACGCGGTAAGCTAAGAACACTGACAAGTGCTATTCAATATACATTTTAATAATAATAATAATAATAATAATATAATATAATAATAATAATATAATGATAATAATTTAATAATATAATAATAATAAAAATATAATAATATAATATTAATATAATAATAATCTTAATAATAATGATAATGA